TATTCACTAAAGCATCTCATTTTCCATCAGTAGAGTCCTTGTTGGAATTTGGAACATACTGACCAAAGAAAATAATTGGAGTTGGTAAATGTGAATGAAATTATCGAAACTTTCCTGGACAATGTAATTTGTTAATTCATTTTTAAATAAACTTTTGTATAATGGCTACCTGGATAGTTGTATTCATATGCAATGTAGACAGTCCCTTAATGAAGTTTCAAGCAGAAAGTCCAGCTGCTCCCAGCAGCACCTCCTTTAGCTTCTGGCTAATGCTTGAAAAACTCTACGATTTGACTGTAATTACTTTTGCTCAGTGGTTAGCAAACATTTAAAGCAGCTGATAGTTTTTTGTTTTATGAAAATTAAGTAAAATTTTTTAAAAAGTACATAAGGAAAATCAGAATTTTATTTTTGCAAATACATTGCTATCACTTTCAATACAGTCAATCTATGAGAATAATGGATACATCCATACAATAGATAATCAATATAATCAAAGTATGAGAATAATAAAATTTTGATGATGACAGTTGCAATGTAATAGTTATCCTATTTTCATTGATTTCCACATTTTGTTTTGGTGGTGTGGTATTGGAAATACACTGATACAGATGTACTGTATATAATTAAATGGTATGGACTTCTTACATCTTACTTAGAGATCTTGAGACACTCATTCCATTACTGAAAAGTAGAATAGTTGGACTTGTCTTCAAAGCTAAATCAACTAGAATAACCAAAATGGGTCATATTCCTTAAGAGGTCTTCATTCTTGGTTAAATAATGCTTTTCAGCCGGGCTCGGTGGCTCAGCCTGTAATCCCACGCCTTTGGGAGGCTGAGGTGAGTGGATTGCCTGAGCCTGCGGGTTCGAGACCTGCCTGGGCAGGTGAGACTTCATCTCTACAATAAATCAAAAAATTAGCCGGGCGTCATAGCACGCACCTGTAGTTCCAGCTACTGGAAGGCTGAGGTGGAAGGGTCGCCGGAGCCCAGCAGGTCGAGGCTGCGGTGGCCGGGAGCGGCCACTGCACTCCAGTCTGGGCAACTGAGTGAGACTTCAACTCAAAAAAAAAAAAGTTTTTCAAAGATAGCTTTTTTTTAAAAAAAAAAGAAATTTATTTTATCATAATTCTGGAGGATAGAAATCTAAGATCAAAGTTTCAGTAGGGTTGATTTCTACTGAAGCCTCTCTTCTCAGACTATAGTTGGCCACCTTATCCCAGTGTCTTCACATGGTCTTTTTTTGTACCTGTTTGTATCCAAATTTCTTCTTTTTTTAAGGACATCAAACATATTGGATTAAGATTCATCCTAATAGCCTCATTTTAACTTAATTTTCTGTTTAAAGTTACCTCCATTTTCAAAAATAGTGGCATTCTAAAGAACCAGGAGTTAGGATTTCATCTTACGCATTTTGGGAGAGGATACAATTCAGCCCATAGCAATGGAATATCCCTCTGTTTACTCATGTTTTCATTCTCTCAATAATGTTTACTTACAAAGGTACCTTTTTGACAGTTTTTCACCTTTGACATTATACATTTATGACATAATGTTACTTGCTATCTATTTTAGATATTCACTCAAAGTTTTAATTAGTCAAACTTATTTTATTCTGCATTCATACCTGAAATGTGTCCATCTCATTGCTGCCTCCTTAGCTGCAGTTGTGAGTATGTTTAAATCACAAGTCTCTGATAAAAGTGTACCTGATATACAAGCTAGTGTAAGTCTAATATTTGTGGGAGATAGTTAACTAATGCAATTTCTTTATGAACAAAAATACATCTAAATATTGATCTCCATTTCCATTTAAGGTACAGGTGTTGTCAAATTGTTTGCACTTCTACTGATTGCTATGTACTGTCTGGTGCTTGTGCTAAACAGAAGTGCCTGCGTTTGCTGAGTTTTCTGGCCTATTAATTGCATGTGGTTTCCATGTGCTATAGTGGTAATGTGCCCATTTGTACAATTCTACTCATTAAATATGCAAAGACATATTTTTTAATGACCACTGAAGAGCTACAGAATTTCTAATCAACGCCACAGTTATTTATTTATTTATGTGTATCTATGTAGATAAATGTGGGTGTGTGGGGATGTATAACTATCTTTCTATGTAACTAAAGAGAAAAAAGAGGAGAAAGAGAGAAAGTTTGTGTTTGTTTGTTTGGAGTTTTTTGGTCTGTAAACACAAGTTAATGATTTAATGATTGTTAATATGAAAAATGTATTTTTATTATAGACATTTTTATTGTTCCAAGATATGGCAACAAATCTGAACCAAGTTTTAACAGAACTGTTGAAGAATTATAGTCATAGCTCAGTAGAACACAGTTTGAAAAATAATGTTTTAGCTGAAGGCCTTTATAACTTTTAAAATGCAAATACCTTTGCTTTCATTTGCAATCAGTCATTTATACATTAATGTGAATGAATTTATTAGACATCTTTCTGAGGTTAATGCAGAAAAGGGTGGGGGATGAACTCAGCAACTGAAAGACATGGGAAAGATTGAATATTAAGGCTAGAAGCATCGAAGACCAACTAGGTGTGCTTTACAGTTTTGCTTGAAAACTATGCCATCCATAGATAAAACACTCATTTGTATTTAAAAGCCACATGCACACGCATACCCACTCATACACATACACACAGAAAATGTTTAATGAATTAGATGGGTGTGAGTGTGAACATGTTTGAGAAGTGCATCCAGCTGTTTTAGAATATTTTTCTGGAACAAAAATGTCATTGAATGAACAATTTATAATTTTGTTTATCTCTAAATTAAGTCAACAGTAAAATTTCCAACCAATGAGTTTATTAATTGAAGGTCTTATTATGATCTTATAGTGTGAGTGTCCTAAAAGACTTTAAGCAAATGAATTGTGCAGGAGTCCTTGGTTATGTATGGTTTAATATAAATGAGGATTGAATGCTTCAAACCTGATCTTGTACCTTTGGTCTATGATATTTTTTTAAATTAAAAGTATAAATTTTAAAAAATTAAATCATTTTATTTAAAATCTCTATTTACATGAATTTAATTATGTGTTTCTCCTATTCTACTCTCTACAAATGAAACTCTAAAGTTTATAAAAGCAAGCATTCATTTCACTAGAGTAAAAATTTAGTTAAGACTTCTGATAATTTTTTACAGAGGCATACAGAAGTGTTGTTAGGTAACATTTTAAGAAAGTGGTTCCTATAAAAGAAGAATATTACATTATTACAATTTCACTGCTTTACTTACATATTTTCTAAGAGTGGAAATTATTAATTTAATTATAGTTTTGAAAAATATTGGGCTAGGGCTATATTTGCTGTATTTCATTCTACAGTAAGCACTTGTAATAATTTTGCACAAATTTGAAAATATATTTTGATATAAATATTTCAAATAGAAATATTACCATTCAGGAAAGGGGCACATTAAGATATCTGTGTAGATACAGTAGTCAATTTCATTTTTGGTTATTAAGTACAACATTTAATATTCAGCAGAACAAATAAAAAATTAAAATAAAAGCATTTTGAGATAATTTTGGATGTTCTGTTATAAAATGTCTCAAATGAAAAAAATATGATAAAATTATTTAAAAGGAAATGTTAATCAATACGCAATCATCTTTTAAAAATATTCAGCCCAAAAAGTCACTAGTAGTACTCAGATTATACTCATCCTAAAATAAAACTAATCCAAAATGATAGGCATAGCTGGTTAAGAACGAGAACAAAAAATTGAGCCTAATCAGTCATAAACGTGCTTCTGTTATTGCTCACTCAATAACAGAAAACTCAAAACCTCTTTAATTTCCACTGTTTTTTCCCATCTGTGAACTAAGAAAAATGTATTACCAAGTCAAAAACATGGTATTCCCACTTTCTTCTTTTCCAGTATTTATAGGAATGTGGTTCTAATAGTGCTGTAATAGAAAGCAAGTAAAAGGGAAGAGAGAGTTTTTCCTACAGTTATGGGCACTGACAGTCTATGACAATCATTGAAACTGGTTTGCCTGTGTTTTATTTCAAACATGCTTTGTTTAAAAAACATACAGGGGAGGGTAAGTGAGCCCAAGCAGACAGCATGTAAACGTAAAGTTACTGTCCACTACCATTCAACGTCACCAATTATTTTACATTTTATTTTATTATTTAATTTATTTATATTGGTCCCTTGACACTGTGACCTCTTCAAATTTTGTCCTTGCTACAGTGAGCAGAGACCATATATTTTCCTCATTTCACAGTGCAATCAATGGTATTTCAGTAAATTCTAGAGGGTAAAAGAAATATTATAGGATAATATACATAAATTATTGGGGCATAACTAGTATTAGAATATTACATTGATATCTTTGTTTATAAAATTTACATGAATTAGGTGCCATGTCCCAATGTGAATTGTATTACAATAGCGTTGATAATTCCGATCCATCATTATTCTCTCCTATTTTGTTAGTTCTTTGCTCTTTATTTCCCAGGTGTCTTATCTGTTATTAACTTACTGGTAAAATAGCAGCAGTTAATTAGAATTTATTGTGAAATATTTTAAAACCTTCTATTAAATATAGTACTTAGAAAAATAACTATGCAAGATAGCTTTGATGTCATAGCTTGACCAAAAAAATAACAAGAATAAAATCAATTATAACAAAACATCCCATCCCATCTAAGATGATCACATTCCAGAAGAACTTAATATACAATATTTTTCTATGTTATTATCCACTAAATACCCAGCATACATTTTATTTTCTGTGGAAAAAGTTACATTCAAGGGAAAAAAATGAGAGAAAAAAAATCCCTGAAAAATATAACCAGTTTATACATGATTTAGAATCAATTAGGATATAATTTAATTATTATGGGTGTTTCATAATATGAAAAATACAAATGTACATATATTATTATAGTACCATGGAAAACTCTGATTTTCAGGTAGCCTTTGAAAGCAGATTAATAAGCAATTTAACAGCTAATTGTTAGAAAACTTACCTTGACTTGCAAACTTCAATTCCTTGGCATCTGTGAGCGTGGTCCTTTTGTCGGACCCTTTTTTCTCTATTCGGCGATGGCTTCGTCTTTTCTTAGACTCTCCCCAAAGATTGGACCCTCCATGCATGCTTGGTATATTCAAAATAGCAATTCCTTCCAGAGAGATGTTTATTAAATCTATCTGAACTCCATCACACTGGTCAGTAAAAAGAAAGGAACAGAAACAGTGAGACATTTCATCTTTATCTCTTTGATTTATTCTTTTTCATTTCTATATTTTTAATAAGAGATTTTAAATTCATAATCTTTTCATTTCTAAATAAGCTTTTCAAGAACGCTTAAATGTTTACACTCAATGTCCATATAGAAGATAAAGCAGTCACTAACATTAATCAGTTATCCTTAAAAGTCCTTAAAAATGTTCCAATTAAATCACCTGGTTTATAGAAAACCTTTAGGAGAGACACATATTAGTGTCTACATATAAAACCAGCAGCAAATTTCCATTGTGTTACAAAAGAAACTAATTCTGGGAAGTATGGTCAAATTTCAGTTAGAGATTTTAATGATTTCCAACTACTTAGAAGACAATGCAAGGCACTATTGGGGTAAAGTAAAGAAAATTCATGCTTCATGATTTCACTGTTTGGGGCAAAGAAAGAAATGGCTTAAAAGACTTTTGTAAATAGTACAAAACAGCAATTCAAAGAGTTCTCAATCACATTGGCATGATCAAGGATGGTTTCCTGAACTAGATTAAGTTCTATGCAGATGTCAAAGGTAATAAGAAGCACAGTTGTTCAAATGGAGAGGGGAAGCCAGGCCGGTGAAATAAGGGAAATGTCATGAGTAGTCATAAGACTCTGCAATCCAACATGACTTTATAGCTGCTGCAACAATGAAATGAAGGGAAAAAAAAAAAAGAAGATTCATTAGTCAGACTTTTTTGTTTGCTGGGTGACATAACACCCTTGATTGGTTATGAAAAATGTAAAACTTACTATCAGATATTTTGTTATATTCAGAGTGGCACTTCCTAATTTTTTGAACTCTGTGTTCATTTCTGCTGATAGACAAGTATGGAGAGTGACAAGAGTGTTCTGTATCTTTGGAATTACTATTATTTTTTTAATTTGTTTTGAGCTTTCTTATAGGGCAGTTATCACAAATATATTTCAGAAATTTTTCTTCTATTTTAATTATAAGTCAATATGAGAAGAGATAGCAGCATATGACTGTTTTTTAAAAGAACTTTGTTAGAAATATGCATTTCCTAAGTTTAAATGTATCTGCAATGGGATTGTTATATTTACCATGTCTTATTACAGAAAAATTATTGATATTAACTTCATCATACCCTATGGTAACCATGATTTTGAACTTAGAAGAGGCAATGCTCTACCAAAATGATGAGAAATGAAGCAAACAAAAAAAGCCCTCTCTTCTTCCACATCCGTCTCATCATACTCAATCTAGGATTATATCTTGTTCACTAAAAAATAAAAACTGCGAAAAAAAAGAAACACATCTTGAGCCTACTTGGCAGGGGTGAAAACAAATTCTAGAGAAAGTGCCAAGTTTTCATTCAATTTGTTTCAACGAGGGGGAAACCAAAGTCTGGATGATGCTTTATTTTCCCCCAGAAACAAGTGCTTTTTCCTTCTTTTCATGTACTAAATTAAGATGATTTCTTTTTACGAAAGAATTCTGCTCCTGTGTATATTCACTTACCGCCATATATTCTAGATAAACAGATATTAATTTCATAATTAAAAGTAATCTTGTGTAAATACCCTGCAGGCCTCAATGAATCAAACACATACTGTGTGTCAGGCCTCCCACTGTCTTCAAGTGGAATGTACTGGCTGGATAATTAGATAGTACATATTTTTTAACCTTATTTGCATGCATATTATATCTTTTGCACACTGACAAGCAGCAGTAACAACAAAAGTCAGATTACCACAGGGAATTCCCACAAAGAAGTCTTCATTCCTTATAATTTGCAGCCTAAATTAAAATAATTTGATCTTTGACAAGGATGAAATGTCAAGCAGAAGGGGGTCCTCTACAAGCCACGGCCTGTGGCTTCTGAAATCTGCCTAATTTCTGTCAGTCACTTCTTAATACATATTTAAGTATTACACGAAAAAGATGATAAATATGCAATCTGACACCTTTGGTATTTCCCTGCTGTTAATTTATAAAGGTCTGGCTTCCCCCAAACTGACTAAAATCATTTAAATAACAGAAGAATCATGAAATAAGCTGGAGTCAGGGCCGGCTTCCATTTTCACTCAATATTGAACACAGCAGGTAGTACACTAAGACAATTATTTGACTAGGCCTTAGAACCCTACTGTGACAAGTTACTTTCAGAATTAGTGAAGGAGGATTCCTTTGTTCATCTGCAGAAAAGGAGAGCATGTCACAAACAGGCCTTTTTTTTTTTAATTGAACCAGCAGAGCTACATGTGACAATTGAAAAACATCAGTATATACTATTATTCATGTTTTCACTCCTCAGTCTTGTCTTGAATGGTTTTGAGGAAACAGAGTAGGAAGCTCTGTGAGACGTGAAAAAAAAATTCTCAGGGAGTCTCAAAGAACAATGAAGAACTCTGATGTTCTTTTGAGAGCAATGTACTTAGATAAATTGCTATTTATGAATGATTTGCTTCCACTATTCTTGACCCTAGGCTACCTTCCTCTGTTTGCTTTAACATTATGTTCATTAGTCTGGAAATTTTCAGTGCTGGTTCTGATGGAGACCAGTAATTGTAGCGCACTAGTTGCGTGTATGAAAATAAAGCCCAGGTGAAGGCTATGACACAGAAACAAGTTATAGGACTGTGTCCGATCATATTTCCATACCCTTTGAAGATTTATGACTTTTAAAAAGGTAGCTACAGAGGAAAAGAATATAAAAGCTTAAAAGCTTACAGCCTCAGTTAGTCAATAAATCCCGAATATTTTTATTATGTAGAAAAAGGTCGTTAACGTATAGTACTACGGGAGCCATTTATAACATGCAACACTGTGATGCCACTGTCCACTCTTTCATTTTAAAATGGAAGATCTTATTCCAGAGACACATTTACCTAAAAGAAAAGATAGCGGTTTCAATTGTTCTGCCAATGTGTTTTAATCTTAGTTTACAATTGTGCCTGAGCCACATTATACAAAGGTGTTAAAAACTAGTTTTTATTTGTGCATTTAGTATTTCAGATGCAGTTAACATGTCATTTGATAGCAATATTCAAAACACATGAAGAATTTTGGAGCAGTCTATATGTAGATAGTGAATTTGATGAAATAAATGAATGATAAATTGCAATTTTTTTAACATGATTCTGATTCTATGTTTATGTCACAAAAATTATTCACAATTTTACCCAATGAAACTGAAAACATTATCGGTAATTTTAATATCAGGACTGGTAGGGCAGAGACTATGTTTGGAAACTCTGCCCTGTTGCCTGTTAGAACTCTGCATTTTCTAGGTTACTGGACAACAAGAATCTTGTCTTTTGAATCCTGCTGGTTTATTTTGTCTTCTTGATGCTACCCATGCCGTTTGTTAATTCTCTAGATCATTTAAATTTGTAGAGGTACCATAATCATTAAGACAAATCAGTATTTGGGGATGAAAATCCTTGGCTTTAAAATTTATCATCCTTCCCAGTTTCGCTGACAACCAAAAGACTGAAGTATCTGAAGAACAGGCTTTCTTATTCTCTCATTAACTTTGCTTATTACATGAAGCAAAGTAAAAATTCATGATTTTTATAGTTTCCATTCCAAATGCTGACCTGAGTTTTTTAGGTGCACACTCTATCAATGCTCCAAATACTTTAACACAAACTTGGATTTCAAAATATTTTCTTGTAATTTTAAGGTATTATATTTTATTCTTTGTTTCTTTATCTTTTGTAATAAGCTTAGACAATAACTGAATTTCTTTACAAGTTTCTACTTTATGCATCACTATCTCTTTATATATATTTCTAATTGATTTGTTTCCTCATTAGATTTAAAGATTTTGGCAGTAACATAATTCTTATTTGCCTTAAATTATGAAAGAAAATTTTAATCTCTGCAGTGGTGGTATAATTCATAGAGTTTTGATGAAAACTAAATCAGATAATGCATGTGCATTGCTTAGCACCAACCATGAGGTAAAATTCATAATATATATATCTTAATTATTATTATTATTCTACAGTATTCTTAACATCCCAAATATTTTTCCTTTGAAAGGAACTTCCCATATGGAAGAAGAATGTGAAATTAAAAAAAATAATAATAACACATAGAATTTGTATACCCAACCCTGAGTTGTACCCCACATTTTTAAAATAAAAAAAAATTTTTTAAATGAATGCATAAAAGATGGTCTGCTTTTGAAAATACTACTAATAAAGCATATAGACATTGCTTGAGTTTCTGTTGTTACTGAAGCAGTTTATTCTGTTATATATTTTTTCAAACCATAGTAGGCATAATTTTAGGCCAAAAAGGAAGCAACAACAAACAGAATCAAATTTCCAAATTGCTGTTTTTGTTATATTTAATTATGAAGTAACCTTGAGGGTAGAAAGGCATATTCTGCTAATATGATAGACTGGATTCATTAAAAAGTAAGCAGAGACGGATTTTGCATTGACACACACACACACACACACACACACACACACACACACACACACACACACACACCAAGAAAATGCAACAATACGATGGGGAGTGCACACAATGCTGGCTGTGATTCATAAATGCTGTTGTTAGTGGTTCCCAGAATGAGCCAGGGACATGGAGCTGGAAAGCCAGACTTGAATAACACACAGAAACACGTGTTAAAAAACAAAACAAAACAAACAAACAAAAAAACTTAGTTCTAATGGTCCAGATTTCTTGGAAACATCCGAAATAATTTTATTTATAAGATGTAAAGCTCTGTGGAACAAAACTTCCCAATTGTATCATTATTTAGAACTTTAAAAATCAATGTTTTTCACATTTATTTTCATTCAAATATATTTTGCTATATAATACAATATTTTTCTTGCACATTTTTTACTTGTTGACATACATAATATTAATCTGTATATCAATGGTTTTTAAATCTGTGCTCAGGGGTAGGATAAGGTAAGGAGAGATATAGAAGAATTCAGTCTCCACCTACATTCAACCAAAGTCATACTTGTAATTCTTCTTTAGCTTTCAACTTCTGCTATAGATTTTATTTGAGTATAGGTTTCTGAAGGTAGGAAATTGTCAAAATTCACTACATAAATCTTTTTAAAAAATAATGATTGCAAGTGAGGGCCAGTGGGAGGCCCAAAATTCTCATGCATGTACATCACTTATGTACCTAATTCTGACTTGTACCCCACATCTTTAAAATAAAATAAAGGGAAAAAACTAAAAAATGATGATTTTGAAGGTCAAGAGGATGACAGATTTTAAAAATAAATATATTTATAAATATATAACTATAAATGCAGCAATATATGACACATATATAACTATATATACTGCAACTATAACGATATATGTAGTTGTCATATATTGTTATATGTGTGATATATAACTCTATATTACTGGATGTTTTCTATAAATCTATATACACAGTTATCTGCATACATAGGTCATGTACACAAATATATATGTAGCTATGTATGTCATATACTGTCATCTATATAACATATAATTCTACATATATGTTATGTAGAATGTACTATACGAGGAGGGGGACTCAAAAAAACTGAAATTATCTCTTGGAGGGAGGTCCCCTTGTAGTACACTCGGAATTTGTTCCTCCAAATCGAACAGTCAACCAAACTTTTTATCTGGAAGTTTTAAGAAGGTTGCATCACAATTTTCAGAAGAAATGTCTCAAGTTGTGTCAAATAGGTGACTGGTTCTTCCACCATGACAACACACCTGACCACACCACACTGAGTGTTCAGCAGATTTTGACAGGCGACTAGTCTTTGTTTCCCCATGAAAAAAGTCCTCAAAGGGAAACAGTTTGTCAATGGAGCGGTGGAAGAGGTGAAGCAAAAAAATGGCAGAACACTGAAAGTTGTCAAAATTGACAAGTTCAAATACTGTTTGAGCAATGGAAATAGTCTCAATAGTTGTATTGCATCAAACAGAGAGTACTTTGAAGTTTAAACATGTAAGAATAAATATACAATTTTAATAGATAAAGTCTGTTTTTTGGGGTTTCTCCCTCATGTAGTTATTATACACACATATAGTATATGTATAAAAGTTTATGTATTCATATATTGTTTTATATGTAATATAGAAACATATAACCATTTGGACCATCTATAACTATATTCATATATGTAGTATATGTATATAGTTATTATATACATGCATAATACATATATAGTTATTATGTATGTATGTATACACGTTTATATGTGTAATATATTGTTTTTTATATAGTCATATGTGTACATAAATAATATATATTCAAATATATATATCATCATAAATAGTAATCACAGAAAGTCCATGTTGAGCCCAAATTCTTTGCCTTCTGTGAGAAGTGATTATATTTCATTTGAAGTTATAATTTGATCAAATTGTAATAGGCTTTTGCCCATTTCATGTCCATCAATTTTAATACCAACTGTTATTTACCAGTTATGATGAGATAAAAATGCAAAAAGACTACATTGGAAGTAGTAATATGTTTGGTACTATTATCAGTAACAGTAAGTTAGAAGTTAGGATAATGAAGAATCCAGCCAGGTCCTTATAATTCTATGTGGTGTAACTACTTTTGTTTACCAAACTTATTACATGAATATATGCCACTAATGATTAGTGGTTAGTAGACAATGTATGCATTTATTTTTAAAGTGAAAAGCATTGAAGCCAATATTTCTGAATTCATATCAATTAGTCATTAAGGGTTCTTGTTTTATAATTCTGCTTTTTTGGTTTTGTCTTTAGCATTTGTCAAAACATAACTTTTCCTTTTTCTTTAACCCCTTAAATGTCTCAATGTGACTGCAATTTTCTTTGATAATATGTTTTCAAAATTTTGAGTACTACAATGTCTATGTTTTTTTGATAGACCTATTTGCTCCAAGTCTTTTAAAAATGTATCCTTTTTTTGCTATCTTTGCTCTCTTTCTTGGCATTTCCACTTTCTATAAATGTAATGGGGAAATGGCAACCTTGGGAACTGAAAAAACTGAGTTAATGAATGGGAATGAAATGGAAAAGTACACTTTTTAACCTTTATTCATAAAAGTAAGTACAATTTTAGTGTGCTGTGTTTTAAAGGTTATAAGATATTGAGACCTGAAAATAGTAAGGTTTTTTTAATGTATCTTGCAACTTTTTTCTTTTTTCTCCACTGCTTTCTTTTATCTTACATCTTTCCATTCACACAATGCCCAGTAACTTTTTCCTTGATTTCTAAAGCTGTATTTCACTTCTCATTTTTTATTCCATGTTAAAACAATCATGCACATGTTTAACTTTATACTAATATTTCAGAGTGCTACATTCCAAATGAGTGAAATAAATGACAATTTAGAATCTTGAGTAACAGTATGTGGATTTCTCAATAGGTATTTCATTTCATGGGCTATGACACAAATATATTAACAACCATGCTCAAACCATATCATAATATTACAAAAGAGATTTCATCTTTCTTACTTCTATTTCGACAGATTCATGAAGCTTCTTGCAGGTGGCTGAGAAAGTTTCAGATGTGCCAAACTCAAAATACCAAAATTTGTTCTTCATTCTGAGAAAGGAATGAAAGAGACAGCTTAGACAATTATCAATAACAGAAGGGTTCTTTTCTAAAATGACCTAACTCTGTCTTGTGTTAGAAGTAATAGTAAAAGTATGAGGACGTGACATCTAAAATGTAATAGATGATCATGTAATTTCCAAAGCCTAAGTGTTGTTGTCAGATTGTATAACAACCATGAATGGATCAGAAGAATGGATTGATCTGACAGACTCAATCAAGTATAATTTTAACTTTATTGGTTGATAAGATTTTTTAAAATGGCTTTAAAGTCCATAATTCTTAGCTTGTTCTTAGGCAACTGGAATTTATAATTTATCACTCTGTTATCATAAAAAGAAGAAATTGGAATTTGTTTTGGGAAAAAAAAGCAAAGCCCAACATACTAACTTTTTTCTAGATGGCCAAGTATTCATTAGAAATCAGCATGTTTGTATAACATACTAAAAAGAAAAAAAATATAATGGTTAGCCATAAAGCTAAAATTTAGCAACTTTGGGATAACCATTACTTATTTTGTAAGATATTGTCTTCTTTCATATGAACAATAGTGAGAAAATGTGATACATGATGAAGAGCTGAGAAAGTAATAATATATAAACATAACAAAATATGCAAATAAAATATAGTTTAAAATATTTTAATATTCAATCTTAAAATAAAATGTTCAAAATTTACTTTCTCCTAAGACTCAGTGATGATATCTTTGGGTTTTTTGTAAAGTAATTAAATTTATAATTGCTTAATGTAATTTTATAAAAGTTGACTAAATTTTTATATTATTCATATTGGATTTTAAAATTCATTCTTATGAAAAATGTGATTTTTAATTATACATAATTCCAGTAAGGTACCATACCCTTAATCAGAAGAAGATATAAGTACAATGAAGACATACTTTCAACAAAGAAATTTTTGTTAGAGTATTCAAATATATAGCTCACATAAAATTAAAATATTGTGTTTGACTTATAAATATTAATATGTGACACTTACATTAGAATGTAAAACATTTTGATAATTAAAAAGACATTTGGCAAGGACCTCATTACTTAATTCAATTCCATTTTTAGTTTGGAAAATGACATTCAGCCTAATAGTGTGCTCAATATTATACTATATTGAATAGTCTATGATATAAAATTACAAAAGTAATCTTATACTACCTATATAGACATATTAAGTAATATTTAGGATCACACAGGCTTTATTTGCTTACAAAATTTTCATTAAAATCTGAGGAACAATATAGGTTTCATAAGATTCAAGCACCATGACTTCTTATCCTTTTTTTTTTTTGAGTTGGAGTCTCACTCTGTCTCCCAGACTGGAGTGCAGTGGCCGCTCCCGGCCACCGCGGCCTCGACCTGCTGGGCTCCGGCGATCCTTCCGCCTCAGCCTTCCGAGTAGCCGGAATTACAGGCGCGCGCTACCATGCCCGGCTAATGTTTTGATTTTATTGTAGAGATGAGATCTCGCCTGCCCAGACGGGTCTCGAACCCGCGGGCTCAGACAATCCACTCACCTCAGCCTCCCAAAGGCGCGGGATTACAGGCTGAGCCACCCAGCCCGGCTGACTTCTTTTTTTTTCAGAGAATATTTTACATAAGTTATGACCTGATTTTACATATGTGAGTAGATATACATAGATGATAGAGATAGAGCAAAGGTAAACATTTAATAGTATGATTTGTCAGCTTCCACCTATATACAAATCTATATTTAAGCTAATACAAATATCTACTTTACAGAATATATATTTGTATAAATGTGCACACTGACTTGAGTTGTATAAATTTTTTATTTTCCTATTGATCTGTCTTTCTGGTGAAAAATATATCATTCTCTAGATTGAAAGGAAAATATTGATTTGAAGTCATTCTTAGTGAATGTTTTATTACTGCTAGAATTGTCTTTCTATATTTAGCAGATTTTCTAGTTACATTTTTGTACTGAACCTTTCTCCAGACTTTCCTGAATTCATTCATTCATCCATTCATTCAACAAATGTTTAATGAGAACATGCACTTCTATATCTTCCTGAATTAACTTCGAAAGATATAAACATAAATGTAATCATCTAAGCTTCCAAGCAAAAAAAAATTGTTATAAGAAAAAATTGCTATAAGATTGTGGGCATATAAAATAATAATAAAGTCAGTTCTCTAAATGAAATACGAATGAAGTACTCTTGGAATATGCTTCAGTGTTTCAACTTATTTTACTTCAAGGGGTCCAGAAGAAAAAAAAATGACATGTTTTTTGTATCTTTAGGAGTACAGTATGAATTAAGTGAATGCTGATTTGCAGACTAACAAATTTGGTAGGTTCTGTTTCAGAATATGTAAGCCGAATTAAAAGTTTTTGGGCTTGATTTTACAGATTATTAAAAAGCTGGGAGCATTTATTAGCAGTAGGTGACATGGCCAGCTTTGTTTTATTGGCAAATAAGTCTAGCAGAAGTGAAAAAGTGGGCTGGGATGTTGAAATGCTGGTGTTGTCAAGAGAAATGTGGTTATTGGAATAGTCTAAATGAGATATAATTGAAGGCTTAACCCAAGTGGCAAGAGAGATGAAAAAGAGAGGCTCAACTCAAGAGAAATAAATGAAGTAGAATCAATAAGAACTGGTGATGTTTGATTATACTGATTTATGCCATTCCTAAGTAATCTCTGAAGGCACATGTTGAAATACCAGAGTTTCAATTCAGCATTAAAAGGGCTGTGGGCTTATATTTTGACAGATTCTGTGATCCAACGTATGTTGTATTATAGTTTGCAAATTAAATATATGAATTACCTATAAATGATTATCCCCTATTTTTTTTCTATTATGTCAATCAAAGTTCTTCATAGCTTAATTAGGATGATGTGGACCTTCTATAAGATACACTCACTTTAGCAAATATATCACAAGAAACAGAAATTCGGAGAATTTACATTCAGCCTTTATTCACCATATTAGTTAGCATTACTGCTCATGTGCAAAAGCTACTTTAAATTCTCCATTATTACACCGTTTTATGTTTCACTTAGATAAATATATGGAGGTAATAAAAAGCACATAGTATCAGATTCCACATGACAAATTAAAGGCTGTTAAATTTTATTTTTTTCAACCCAACTAGTTTTAGGTTGTAGAAATGCAAAAAAGCACATTTGCGCATGTATGCTATCTATTTTTATGACTCACATTAAAAAATGATTCAAATAATTCAAACTCAAATTTGTTAGAGAAAACATAGCTTTGGACTCTAAGAACACAGTAACTAGAAATTTAATGTGTTGTGAAATGGTCACACCAAAGTCAAATTTATCATATTCTTGGACAGATTTTGTGATTCTAGAGAAAATGACAAATGTCCTATAAACTTCAAAAAAGAGTTATTCATATAATTATGACTTTAATAAATATAGTAAACCCTACTTCAATAAATTTAATTGTAAATCTACAGGTTTTGGTTTAATATTCAAGGGTTTGAATACTAGATATATTCAGGTAAAGATGAAGAAATAGTTTCCATTTACCAGGCATTTTTTTTTTTTTACCAACAGTAATTTGGCATCTTTTACATATCCTCAAAGAAATGTGAGCTAGCAGAGGTTCAAGAAAAATCATACTTATCATTATGAAATTTAGTTAATATTTAGTTCCCCAAGTTTTTAACTTTCAAATAGGTAATTTAATTTCTAGCAATATATTTACCTTGGCATTTCTCTTCCTGGCTTATATGTTTTGCATTTTGAGTTTCATCTGTTAAGTGATGGTAATGCAGCAAACATAAAACAAAACAAACGAAATGTAAAGGACCAATGCATCTCCCAAAAAGAACACAAAAGAATCTAATGGATATGAAGCTCCTTTCCAATAAAGGTGCAATGTAAGGAGAGGGATGAAATTGTCTTACTTGAAAAAACTCAAAATTCATCAACACAAAAAAGTTTTAATTCAGTGAAATTATTCTTAGGTTAAAGATCATATTTTATACTACAAGTGCATTTGTTTTATTATTTTTTATTTTTTTTAGTGGAAACGCAGGTAATCAGGAATTTCATTCAATCTGTATAAAACAGAAGAGACTCCTATAAACACTTGAATCCCTTTTCAAGCATTTTCAGCCAAGTGGTTGGATCTACATTGTATGGCTAACATGCTCAACAGATGAGAAAATGAATCTCTTTTGATCTTTGCTTTTCAAGTAAACGCAAAATCATAATGTCTTAAGTAGCTTAGTTAACATGGAATGAAACAAATGCTTTTTTTTAACTTATTAAGGGTGTTCCAAAAATCTCATCTTTTTCATTATCTTGTTATTAAGTATTTCAACAGTCATCTTGAATCTGATCTTAAGTAATTTTCTCATGAAGAACAAAGTTTCTTAAAATTCAAAAACATTATTTTAATACTAAAACTCAGTCTCACAATTCTATGGCATACTCATGAAGCATAGCAGGAATCTGGACTTGACTATGTTGGTTAATGAGAGACATTGACTTACAGCAATACTGCAGGGAAAGTGTTTAAAGTGGTACATTTATGTCATAGAATCAGTTCAGTTTTATTCATTTTTTCATTGCCAAGAAACCATTACACTAAGCATTGGTTACAGCGTTACTCATTTATTCCTAAGTGTAATGAGGTATTACTTTTAAACTACACCACATGCCAAATGGAAGGGCCCCAGTGGAACTTGATTCACCAGCAAGTAAGTAGTGTCTGAAAACAGCAGCTCAAGGAAGGAAAAGCACTCACAGAGGAACTGCAGGAAACAGAATGCCGACAAGAGGCCTTGCCAGTGAAACAACCACAGGTTAGAGTACGGAAAAAGTAGTTTAAGTTTTTCATCACTTCTTGATGTATCCTGGGAAACCATGTGCCATCAATGTAAACTATAGTAACAGGTGTTTGTTAAGAACTAAGTCTTCACCTAACTTGAATAAAATCTGCCATTTATTTTTTTCTTTGGATTGGCAACTGTAAGTTCACCAATA